CTCAGTGGCTTAAGTACCTGCCTGGCAAGTGCAAGGTCCTGAGTTCAATTCCAAGTACCAAAAAATAAAGTGTCCTTTAATTATGCTTTACACTGTAGGATACAGAAACTCTTCCTAACCCACCTATGGAGTGTTAAGCTTTTACGCAAGACTGTCATGCCCTGCCTATACTTAAATACCCCACCCTTTTCTGGTTGTAATCTCTCAAAAAATCCAGCAAATGATTTTTTTAAAAAGCTTTGTAAAGCTATGCTTTTAAAAGTAATGTCAGAATGTGTAATATTCCCCTTAAAAATGTTTCTAAAGCTACTAGAAAACAAAGCCTAGTAATTGGCAATTTAGAGTCACAGTTGTGAATTCAGTATGTATTGGATATTTTAAATTAATTCTATTCCCATGATGCTTTTAGTAGAATTATTTCCTGAAGAAAACTGCTGGTTGATCATTGCCCTGTCAGAATTGTGTGTATGCTTTAGTCATGGTAGTCCAGTTTTCCTAATAATTTTGTTAATGTTCTGTGAATGAGTGAAAATTTGAGTGTATACTGTATATTAAATCATAAATTGATGGAACTTTTGTGCCAGCATATCAATATTTCGAGACACTGGGTGCTTTATATTCTTTTAACAATCTGCCTCTAGCTTTGAAGCTGGAAAATCGCTAAAAAAAAATTGTTCAGAAAATAATCACAACAGGTGGCTTTTATCGGGTACATATGTTAAGAATTATAATAATAGCAAGCTAAACATTTTGAATCCAAAGAGATAGAATGTAGTGTCATTAATTTTATTCAGCAATTATTTTGGGGTTTATTTACTGATTTATGCATTTATTTATTGTATTTTAGGGAAGGGTCCACACTGTGTTCAGGATCTCACCACTAGATCAGACTCATAGTGATTCTCCTGTTTACAGCCTCCCAAGAGCCGGGACCACAGGCGTGCGCCACCACGCCCAGTTCCAAGCGCTATCTCAGCGTGCCTCAAGGGCAGGGCAGCGCGGCAGACCGGGGATCGAATCTCCGACTCCTGCGCCTGCTTGTAGGTGCTTCAATCTGCTGAGCTATTTGGCTGGCCCTCATTTTTATTTTAGACAATTTTTTTTGTTATATTCATTTAAGTTTTTAAATAATTTATTTACAACATGCTCTATTATTAATCTCATGCTATGTATTCATTTCAGAAATATTTCTCTAAAATTCACTCTGTCTGGCTGGCCAAATAGTTCAGAGGATCAAAGCACCTGCAAGCAGGCACAGTGACCCCCTGGCCTGCCACGGCAACCCGCCCCCACGGGGCGCACCTTCAGGGCAATTGAGACTGGGTGTGGTGGCACACGCCTGCAATCCCAGCTCTTGGGAGGCTTCAAACAGGCTGATCAAGTCTGATCTAGCAGTGAGAACCGGAACACCGCGCAGGCCCTTCCCCAAAATACAAAAAGAAATAAATAATAAATTTTAAAAATTCTCTCTGTCTACACCTCATGTCTTTCACATTTCAATATTTGTCTACAATTTTTATGGTACCTGGTAAGACTGCTATTCTGACCAACTTTGGGATAAGGAGTGGTAAGAGACTTGATATAAAAATCATACTAAAAGTAATATTTATCATTTCTAAGAGTAGAATGTAAGAGTCGAGGTGCCCTTCGGGAGCTCTGCCCTACAAATTATTGAAACACGTGTTCCAGCTTGCATGCCAATGTGTGAATGATATAGAATAGAAGTTAGCAGGAACCCCCTGAAGGGCATGAACAGTGAGCAAGCACCGAATCTCTGCTTGCTTTAGCGCACTAGCATGTAGACCCTGCTGCTGCGGGAAAGGAACCTGACCACAGGGCTGACGTGTTCCTCAAGCATTAGCAAATCAGATAGTTTGGGCAGCTGCATTTTTCTCACTGCTAATGGCATTAATAAACAAAGAGCCTACCGCAGCAGGGTTAGCACAGAGCTCACAGGTGCTGATCCATGGGAGGATCAGCAAGACCTATACCAAGGAGCATCAAATAAATGAAGCTATTGTTACTTTTGTAGATTTGGTAGATGCTGCTGCAACTCCTACATCATGTTCCTGTCTCCCTGATTTCAGCCACAGCTGCAAAGGCCAGCCCTGTGGAAGCTCAGATCTAAATACTGCTGAAGCGTTTGTACCATACATGCATGTTTCATTTCTTTATTTAACCCATACCTTTCTCTGAGTGATCAAGGAGCTGACAGATGTAGCAGTTACTGGTCCCAGGACTAACTCCCAAACAGTAGGGGATGGAAATCGATTGGCACATACTCCAGCTTCTTGTCCAAGGTAACCATCCTGAGAGAGCCTCTGTCGAGTTAGCAGGAGATTCTTTAGCATTAACACCTTGTACTGTTCCTTTAGGATTTCTACACATCACGCTCCTTCTGTCCTCTAGAGCCACCCAAACATGTTGTCAAATACTGAAAGGAGCCCTCAAAACCCCACTTGACTCCTCTAACTCTTCTTCAGGCTAATCCTTTCCACATACATTGAGTGCTCCCTGCAGGGTACACAGGCCCATATAATGGTTATTGCCGTCACCCACCACCCTTGTTGGGCTAGTAAGTACAGGTCCAAATTAGGCAAATGGGGTGTGGCCATGGACTTTATTAGCAGCCTCTCTGATTTGCTTTCTTGCACAAAATGTTAACTAAAACCAACAAGTCCTTTTTATATTGACTGTCCCAAGTACACTTTCAATGTTCAAATCTTGTATGATTTCAACGCAAGTACAGATATTCTCACTATTTGGTTGTCATTAATAGTTTCTATTTCATATCTCATTGCTAAATGCATCATTAGAATATTGCATAAGTTTAAATAATTCACATTGAACATTTTGCCAGAGGAGAGTTAACCCTCCTAGCAATCCTAGAAGCCAATACTGCTATTTTAACCATTTCACCAATTGAGTAATTGAAACTTGTAGCTACAAAATAGATTTTTGGGCTCACATAGCTAGTAGGATGCAGAACTGGGATTTGAAGCTCAAGCCTCACCAGAATCCATGCTTTCATCTCTCCCATCACTGGGAGAAAATATACCACACTTTAAACTTAAGGGAGAGCTTTGCCTTGGCCCTCTGTTGCAGTGGGTTCAGTCCATGGTTGATTGGCTCCCAGGCATTGATGGTGAGGTGGAATGCATGGTAGAGAAACGTACTCAGCTTGAGTTGGTGACAGGAAGACAAGGAGACAGCGAAAAGAATGCACCCTCCCCAGTGATACCTCCAGTGACCTGCCTCTTCTAACCAGGCTCTGTTTCTGAACAGTCCCTGTCTCCAAACACAGGAGATGTCTAAGGGAACTTTAGCTCTAAACCATAACATATCCCAAATTGACAGATTATTCTTCATAGATTAATTTTACTTCCCTATTTAAGCTATTTTTTGTTTAGTTTTGTCAGAGATGAGTATTCCATTACCATTTAAATATTGTAGGTGTGTGAATTCAGCAAAATGATCCAATATACTCCAGTAGTCCATAACAGTAGTGTGTTATAGTTTCCACCATTCAATGTAAACTGAAAAAAGTAAAAGAATAATTAAATGCATTGAGTATCTCTTAAATACAAGATGCTTTCATTTCTGCAATCTCATTTGCTCTTAAGAACCATAAAAGTTATCAACTCACAAACACAGGCATAAGTGCAAGGGTATTACTCAATTTCACGGCTATCATAGTAACTTACAAATATTTAAATAACATCACTTTCCTTAATGCCCTTGCTCAAAATCCTCCAGATAGTTTTCTCTGTGCTCTAAATCAGAACCTCAAAATCCCTCCAAATTCATCATACTCTATAAGAGTTTACAATACCTACTCCCTGCCAGAAACTAATCATTTACACTCTCCTAACCATTCTTGATATTCTAATCATTCTGGGCATCTCAAGCATAGCTCGCTTCTACCTCAGGACTTTATACGTGACATTCTCTTACTGGGAATATATTCTCCTTATCGCTTTCACAACTGAGTTTTCATCATTCAGGCCACAGCTCAAATGTCATTTTTCCCTAAGACAAAATTCATGTGGCCATTCTAGATAAATAAGTATTTATCAATGTTATTCTAAAATCGTATTCTTCAAATCCTATACTGTAAGAAAAGCACAGGGATTATAGAAATGCTGCATGGTATCTGGATTGATGTTTTCATGCAGCATATAGCATTGCTGGACACATAGTGAGGTCTCCAGAAATATTTCTCAGACAAAATAAAATGAATATTGAAGATAAAAAAAAATGAGGTTCTAGGATTTTGAGTAAATTTCCTAACTTCCCTAACTTTAAGTGTCTGATTCTGCATCTCACCCACTTTTGAAGCTGCCACACGACAGAAATGTTAAATAATAGGTGGAACTAGGTGATGTGCACTTGTCATTTCAGGCATTGGATTCTATTGTGGATGCAACTAAAATCAAATATCATTTCAATCATGCTGTCTCCAGAGAGCCCTGCATTCCCAATGGATCAAAATAACATGAGAAATCTATTAATTTCCCATGTTTTTTATGCTGCACAGAAGGCATCCGTGGGGATTTGAATTTCTCCAGGGTGACCATCCATCTTTCATTTTTATTCCTACCTAGATTTGCACAACTTTGCAACATACAGTGTTGGGACAGGCTGCTCCTTATTTGTTCCAATGTCAAACTGTACAAGCTATTTTTCCTGCCTCTTCCAGTGCACAGAAGGCCTCTCCCATCTCCCTGCTCCTTGCACACAACCAGCAAAGCTGGCCAGCAATCTGGCTCACAACACAAACTGCAGCACACTGATTGGTCCACAGCTGCCCAGGGGCGGGGCCTCTGTCTCAGGCACTCTTCAAAAGGGATCAGCGCTGTGAGCAGTCCAACCTCAAGGCTCAGGCACTCTTTCTGCCAGCCTCCTTCACTGAGCAGTGCTTTTCAGACTGCCTTCTTTGTCCAGCCTGGCTCAGCTTGGGTTACACCCTTAAGTCAGTGGATGCAAGGACTTGGATTTTGATGTCAGCGATGGAAAATCTTGTCAATGCTTCCCGGCTGCACCAGCAGGAACTGGAAGACCAATGGAAGAAGTACCTGAACAGCACTGAGGACTACCTGGCTCGCCTGTGTGGACCAAGGCGCAGCCACCTCTTTCTCCCCATGACTGTAGTGTATGCGCTGATTTTCGTGGTGGGAGTTGTGGGCAATCTCCTGGTGTGCCTGGTGATTCTTCGGGACCAGATGATGAAGACGCCAACCAACTACTACCTGTTCAGCCTGGCTGTCTCAGACCTCCTGGTCCTGCTCCTGGGAATGCCCCTGGAGGTCTATGAAATGTGGCGCAACTACCCCTTCCTCTTTGGGCCTGTAGGTTGCTACTTCAAGACTGCGCTCTTTGAGACTGTGTGCTTCGCCTCCATCCTCAGTGTCACCACGGTCAGCGTGGAGCGCTATGTGGCGGTCCTCTATCCTTTCCGTGCCAAGCTGGAGAGCACCAGGCAGCGGGCCCTCTGCATCCTCGCCATGGTCTGGGTCTTCTCCATCGTCTTCTCTCTACCCAACGCAAGTGTCCATGGCATCAAACTCCACTACTTCCCCAATGGGTCCTTGGTGCCTGGCTCTGCCACCTGTGAGGTCATCAAGCCCCTGTGGATCTACAACTTCATCGTCCAGGTCACCTCCTTCCTCTTCTTCCTCCTCCCCATGAGCCTCATCAGTGTCCTCTACTACCTCATGGGGCTCCGAGTGAGTATCCACACCAACTGCCTGGGGGTTGTCACTGGGCAAAATTCAGTGAAAGACTTAGAACTGGAATCAGAAGGGGTCCCAGGGCAAAAGAGGATGAATTCAGATGGGAAATTAAGAAGTTAGAGTGCTTGCTTTCAACTGAGCAAATAGTAAAACCCCAGCTGCAGGTCAATTATTTCATCTTACATTACGATTACCTCTATACTAGTTCTCAGACATGCTTCAAAACCCAGCTAGAAAATAAACCATGGGTTCCACAGAAAAATCTGATCCAGGTCATCTGAAAACGCATTTTAAATACACACATCACCTGATGTGGGGTTAAATGGTTTCACTCTGAGGGGCTTTTTTATACCTTGTTGTCTCTTTCTTACCCTCTCCCTGTTTATCAGCTGTGTTGAAATTTTTCTGCATCTACTAGGTCTGAGGATAACTACAAATTAGCCCTACCTATATAATGGCCCAAGTCAGAAACATGATTTTAAATCAAACACTTCCTCTGGTTGAAACATTAAATGATATTGAAATATATTGAGATACATACATATGTATTTGTGTACGTGAGTATTTTGAAATCAGCTTGGTCTCCTCTTGAGCAGGTGGAGATTGGAGGATGGGGAAGTCAACAGATCACACAAGATAGAGTTAAAGAATGAGTAAAAGCCACCTGAGATGGCAAGGAATGTATTATTCACTTTGCAATACACAATTGGAACTCCTTACCCTATACTTATGGAGATAGACTACATTTTATATTTGCTCTGGATTCAACTGGTGATACAAAGTATTTTCCATAAGGGCATGAGTCTACCTAATCCCTAGTATATTCTGCACCTGAATTCATAGAAAAGTAATTTGTGACTATGATAGGCTTGCATTCATTTAAGGAGGTTGCTTATATAGTAAAGAGTTAGGACCCCACTTAGACTCCCAGGTCCACAGTTACCTACCTTATGCCTTTGGGCTAGCCACATTATTCTCCAGACCTTAGGTTCTACATGTAAAAATTGAAAAGATTACTATACCTTCCCAAACTCCACAGTCTTAATAAGAAAAACACCGAGAACTTACCAACATCATCTCATCCAACACCAATCATTTATCTTATATGAAACTGGGGAAAATATTTACATTTGAGTAAGAAACCTATTTCTACACCTCTTGCTCTGAGTCTCATTGTGACAAGTCCACAGCTAATTTGGATGAGGAGCTGAGTGACAACTCAGAGTACATGTTAGACACCACTCAGACTTGCTTTGTGTTCTCAGGAAGGAAGAATTTTTCCAGGTCACCAGGATACCAGGAAAGGAACTGTCTGCTTTGAAATACTCTTCTGAAAGAATTTCAATATCCCTAGACCCAACATCTACAGAAGTAGCCTCTATGTCTATCACTGGCTTCAGGGCCTCATTACCTGTTCCCTTAAATGACTGTACTGTTTGCCTTTTTAGCTCTCATTTCTCCTCTAAATCACCCTCAGTCACACCTCCTCAGGGATGTGGCCCAGATTCCCAAGCTCTACCTGGGCCCTGGTATAGGTGCTCATGCCTCCTGGGCGTTTTCACTCATTACAAACTATACTTCTATACTTGTGGGTTCCTTAATTTATTTCTCTTCAACTAAACCCTAAGCTCAGTTGAGTGAACAAGGCTAAATTACTCCCTCATTATAGAATTCCAGCTTCTCTTCCTTTAAAACAAACAACTGAAAAACATTTGTCTCAAGGGCTTTTCTGACTTATGAGATTTTAAGGAGATCCAGGCTTGAAGAAAGGTATTTTTGCCTTGTAGCTTCAGCGCACAGGCTATCCTAAGGATATTTAAATAATTAACTGTCTTTGAAAGTCTCAAGGTGTGAATCACTGTGGGTCTTTAGAAGGCATTAAACATGACACTGATGAAATCGTAGGAGGGAAACCCCACGTAAGCTTAAACTACTCAGTGATGCTTCAGCATCCTAGGACAATGTTGGCAACCTGCCACACACGTGCCGCAGCAGGCTCCTTGTATTACTGAAAGTGTTAAAATGTTCTTCTAGAACATTAACCCACACAGCAAGGTCTTCCAGGGTTAGAAAACTATAAAAATGGAAAACAGATAATCTCAGGACAAGTTCCTTCCCCATTAGGAGGAAGTTTGATGAGTTGTCTTTCCTACATTCACCCTTAAAAGCTTGAGCTTATGAAGATGCATATAAGAATTGCAGCAGATTCAACCAGACCAAAGAGCTGCATTAATATAGACAGGCATATGAATGTAGATGAAGCTGCGGACATACGCTTGCAAATACACATATAGAGATGGGAAATAGACTGTATTCAGATTGTGAAGACAGTTAGACACATACATCATTACAGCTTGGTTATGGAACCAAGTCTTAATGAACCAGGTAAAGGAACAGATAATGAAATTATTTTATTTATTATAAACAACTGATCTGAATACTATATCAGTCTGGTTTAAGCCCAAGAAGCTTCCCTTCACTTTGATTACTGTAGTGGCTAGAAAGGCTCCTGAACTTCCTATACAGGAACTGCAATGTTTTGTTCCTTTTTTTGGCTACCTGACTTTAAAAAAAAGTATGGGGGAGGGAAGAAATAACTAATGGTTTAATATCTACTTCTCTAAACATCTGAAAGGTCTTGAAATAATTCAATAAAAAAGCATTTAATACTGGCTAGAAAAATTGCTTCGATTTTGGCAACTTTGAATTTTGGTAGAACAAAGTACGACACATAAATACTTCATTTTTCACTCTTCCTTTAGATAGCTAGTTGTGTCATTGTCATTCAGGGAAGCTCAAAACCGAGTAATAATTGGCATACCTTTATCTCTCAGTACAAACAGTATATTCACAGGAGACCTATTTGTAAGAGAAGTATTCCAATTCCCTGCTTTATGTTTTCTTTAAGGAAATTATGCTTTGAGATAGGGATTCAACCATTGAGACCTGTTCAACCCAAGGAATCAAGAAGTCCCTGAGAGATCACAATACTTCTTCTATATTCTTAAATATGGTTTGAAAGTTAAAAATTGATTAACATGGGCAGACCAGATGGCTCAGCAAACAAAAGCTTAGGCCGAGCGCAGCAGCCAGGGTTCCGTCCCAGAGTGCCATGTTGGCCCCACCCCCAGGGCAGACTGAGCTAGCAATTGAGACTGGGCATGATGGCGTGTGCTTGTAATCCCAGCACTTGGCAGGCTGAAGACAGGAGAACCACTATGAGTCCAATCTACATATTGAGACCCTGTAGACCCCATAGACCCTGTCCTAAATAAATAAATAAGCATTAAAAAATTGAATAATCATATTTATGTTATAATTTTTAAAGCATATAATTTTAAAAGTATAGGTATTTGAAACTTTTCACAGATTTAATTGAAAGCATATTGCTCAAGTTTGTCATCTGATGCACTACTCTAACCTGAGTGCTTTCCCTCTGTGCGCAACTCGCTAGTTCTTCACATCAGTCATACAACTTTTGAGTGAGTGGGTGAGTGAGTGAGTGAGTGAGTGGAGAAGAAAGAGAATTTCTAGAAGAGACTCATGAATCAAGCTGAGTGGGACCATCCAGCTAGTGCCCTCCTGGGTATTTTCCTGAAAGAACTGAAAACATCATACTCCAGCAGTATATGTGCACTCATGTTTATAGCAGCACAATTTGTCATAGCTAAATATTGGAAACAACCCAAATGTCCATCAATTGAGGAATGGATAGAGAAGTATTTTTACATACTAGAGTGTTGCTCAGCTATGAAAAGATAAACTCGAGGCTTTTGTTGGTAAATAGGTGCAACTAGAGACTACTCATAAGTGAAATAAATCAGACACCCATGAGCAAACATCATATTGTCTCCCAATTATAACACCTTGAAAGAGTAAATAAAAGCTTAAAGGTACAATTGAGAGAGTGAAAGGGAAAGAAACTCTTTAAAAGGAAGGAACAACTGGGAAAAGAGAAAGAAAGAAGAAAGAAAGAAGGGAAAATATATAAAATATTAGCTAAGAAAATAGTTCTACTAATTTCTATTGGTTTATTGAAAGGAACACTTCATGCTTAATGTTTTATTATTGACCAATTTTGCATGCTTATATCTGGTAATGTGAACAACTACTTTGAAGAAAACAATATGCATCATAACAACAAGTGTTGAATTCCTATCATCTTGTTTTTTAAAATTCTGTATCATTTCTAATGTTTTTATAATATTTTTATTTTCTTTAAAATAAAAAGATAAAATGACATCAGTTGAGTAGACAGAGGCCAATAGCCAGGAACTGAGTTAAGTAAATTGCAGCATTATTTTATTTTACTATTGTATTAATAATATCTAATAAACTTCAGGTTCCTTCTACTTAGTCCTAAATTACTGAGCAAGAATTCCCTTATGGGGTTGGGGAGATGGCTCAGAAGAGTAAGCACTTCTCTAGCAAATGCATGGGTTTGAGTTCAATCCCTGGTTCCAAAAAAAAAAAGAATTCCCTTGCTTCATTTCAAGGTCTAAATGACCTTAAAGGGGTAAATTTCTTAAGAGTTCTCTCCGCAGTTGATGAAAACGTGTTTATCCATAAAGAGCATCAATATGGACAAGAAGCACACAAATCAGTTTATTAAACATTCAAGTTAATGTTCAGGTTGATGCTGAGAGCTACCTGACTTGAGGTACATAGTTTATTATATTAAAGTTATGCAAATAAAAGTCATCCAGTTAGTGTTTCCTTTGACCATTTGTTTGTTCTGATGTTGTAATGTTCATATAAGTACAGGTCTGTATTTACTGGTTAACTCATTTAAAGATGTAGGCTTGGAAATGTGGCTCAGTTCTTAGGTGAGGAGTTTCTGTATTAGCATTACCCTTCTCAGATCTTGAGAGGAGAAACAAAAAGTTTTCCCTTTCCCACGGTCACTTTCCACTTCTTTCCCAGCTGAAGAAAGATGAACCCCTTCAAGCAGATGAAGTGACTGCAAATATTCAGAGACCTTCCAGAAAATCAGTAAACAGGATGCTGTGTGAGTCCACCACTGTGTTTTGGGGTTTGCTTTTCTTTTTTTTCCTAAGGGACAAGCAGTTGAATTTGATCCTTACAAAGTGGTATGGAAATCAGGCCCCAAGTCACCCCCAAAACATAGTATCACAATCTATCTTCCTTGGCTTTCTCAACTTTAGACACAAACACACACACACACACACACACACACACACAGAGCTATGTTTCACTTTTGGGTTTTAACTCTCAAAATAACATGTTAAATTGCACATGCTGAATATACTCCATATGATATATAGTAAATCACATCGACTGTCCAAACCTCTGGCACCACTGCCCCTCAGTAAATGCAAGAGGTAGGTGATGGTCAACCTCCTATGTTATGAGTTTCTTTACAACTGTGGTAGAAGTTATTGTGGCTCTCTAGCCAGAAAGCTTATAAATACACACATACAAATATTATCTAACCCTTCTCAGGGCTTCACAAATTTGTGAGGCCCTCACATGGACCCCATGGGATATTTTATTTCCATATTGACAATATATGGCTGGGGGACCTCTGCACTGTCATTCTACCCATGACATTGTGTAACATTGAATCAAAACATTATACTTTTTATAGATAACATGTATTTTTTAAACTTGAGTGGTGATTTGTATGCTCCCTAAAATGTGTTATAAAAATATGTGACTCATTCAATAGGAAAAAATTATGATCCAGCACTAATCCATAAGCATTGCTGATAAGGAAGTAAAGAGTTATCCTATATTTTCCAAAGCAACACCTAAAGTTTGACAGTAATGTATTTTCAAGGACAATATGTCTATGAAATGCCCACCTAGAACTATGTCCCATTTATTGATGAACAACAAAAGCTATAGTGATTCAAGGTGCTTTTTGACTCTGATAATCATTTTCTTGGACATTTTCTAGCCTCTGTTGATACCTGACTTGACGACAAAGAAAACCTATGACTTTATATCATTCTTCTTTTTGCTTTGATGATAATCTATTCATGCTAAAATTCACATTAAACTCACAATAAAAAACATAAAATAGGGCCAGCAGTATAGCTCAGTGGACTAAGTGCTTTCTTAGGTAAACACAGGGTCCAGGGTTTGATCCCTGGCTCCACATGCTGTGGCAGTCCAGCCCCAAGGCACGCTGAGCCGGCAATGGAGTCCAGGTGTGGTGGTGCACACCTGTAATCCCAGCACTAGGGAGGCAGAAATCAGGAGGATCACTATGAGTCCAAGCTGTGTAGTGAGACCTTGCACAAAAATAAATAAATAAATAATAAATAAATAAATTGCCTTTTGAAAGTGTTGAAATTTAGCATAAATTAAATTTCACATAAAGGGAATAAATAAGAAGGTGAACAAATTTTTCTGCAGTAATAAGATTAATAGAAGCTTCTAAATATTCCTGAAGCCACATTGCACAGGCAGACAATTTAAACAAGTTTAGTGTAATCAGGACACACAAGTACTACTGACATGACAAGAGCAAGTATAGAGAACAGTACAAGGCCTGACATTGACCCATCACCCAAATTTAAAAATTGTCAACAAACTTTTCCATACCTATACCCTTATCTCTCCCTCAACCCTAAATGATTATTTAGAGACAAATCCCCAGCATCATATCATAGCAAAGGAAGAGTTCTAAAATTTCAAAAGATGAAGACATATATATTTACTTTTAAATGTCCCCGAGATAAACTATAGTGGCACCAATCTGTCTTGAGAACTGAAAACTAGAAATCAGAAGGAATTCTGTGCTCTAGCAATTCACTCTACTATAAACACATCCTCTTCAGATTGAAAGACACTTGCAAAGAAGTATTATGCTTGGGGTTGTACACTCTTTCTCTTGCCTCCCCAACCAAAGCAGAATTTTAAATGATCAAAATGGGAGAAATTTCTAATTATTTCTATAGTAACAAGATGAATTCATCCCTATGACTAAATAACATCCACCACTTGATCACAATTGTTGATTTAGGTAGCCAGCTTATGTGGCTCGGATAGTCTAGTTAAAGTTTAACTTACTTGCCACAATAAAGTGTTTCCAGAACTTTAAAACAAATTTAGTACCATCATAAGTGCTCTAAAGGGAACATTATATTTGGATCTTGTATTATCCATTAGAAAAGTCATCCCAGATCCATTACAATTCATTGTTGGGCTTAAATATTCTATCTTGAGACTCTTAGGATCTAGTTTACCCATAATAGTTATAGCTTAACTAATGTGGAAGGAACAGCCCTAGAAGAACAGAATGGCATTCTAACCTTGCCTATGCTGCCTATATGCTCCTATTTATCATTCTTTTCCAGTTGTCTTGGTCTTAGTGTTTGCCATTTGTTGGACGCCGTTCCACATCGATCGCCTCTTCTTCAGCTTTGTGGAAGAATGGACCGAAGCCTTGGCTGCTGTGTTCAACCTCATCCACGTAGTATCAGGTAAATACTGGGCTAATTTGATTGTCTGATGGTTGTTCAGGTAACTTCAGCTTTATCTTCATCCTATGTTTAGATGTTTCTGTGTAACAATATATAATGGATATCTGCCATTGTCATAAAAATGAAGACACTTGATTTTAATATTATTCAGAGATGGATTAGGCAGGCCACTGGTTTAAATACAATAGCTATGTATTATTTTCATGTAATACAAGTAGATATTAATAAAGAAAATATAAAAAGTACTCTTTTTCTGTGCAAAAACAAATTTCACTACAAAATATAGGATAGCAACAGTTAATACACTGTGAATCGTGATTGTAGAAGAATGTCCAAAATGTTCCTCAAAATATCAGGTATGTCTACTTTGGAGGCTACCTGAGAGACAACCACAACTCTTAAGTGTAATAAATACAGCAGAAAAATAGTCAAGAGGTTATTTCTTTAGTTTTGCTTCTAGTGTCCCTGTGAATTGATTTGTGCTTCTTTAGTAAACATCATGTCTCTGAAGTCTATGTTGCTTCATAGAAGCCCAACCAAGGATCTTCACAGACATCAAGGTCTGATTTTAGGCTGCTTTAATGTGTTGTCAAGGATACCATAGAATATGAGGGAAATAGTGATGGGAAAGTCGCTAAGGCCAAGAACCTGGATTTGCAACCCAACTCTGCCATTCATAGTTGGAGGGAACCAGAGCACCTGGCCTCCTCCTGCCAAAGTCTCTGCAGCTACAAAATGGTCATGATGCCTGCTCTTGATAAACATGCACCAATAGTGAGACACAAATTGACTAGGAGGCATTACAGAGCTTTGAATCTATAGAATGCTGCATGTCATTCTATATGATGGCAAGCTATTAGGCAGATATCATCCTTCACCATTTTAGAGTAAGACAGACTGTTCCACAAGAAGAAATGACTTGCCTCAAGGCACAAGGCTCAGGTCCAAGCCATGGAAGTCAACTTCTGACTTTTTGCCACAAAAGTAGAGTGAAAAACAGCCTCCCCAACTTCTTCCCCATCACTGTCCACAGCTCTGAGACTCTCATCACTGCCACCCCCTTCTTTGCTAGTCACTGGCAAGCTCTATGGGCTTTGTAGATTATCTAAGATATAAGGTAAGGTGAGAAGAACATATGTGAATCAAACTTCAGATATACATAGGATCAAAAACCATACTATGTGTAGTTTTATAAAGGTACTGGATGCGGTGTCTGCAAGTCTACCATCTTTATTGTGCTCAGTGGGCTATGGCCAATGGGACAAAAATGGAAGTGCCTAGAAAACAGTGAACGTCCATGTGGCAATTGAAGAGTTGACTACACTTCACAGGTAACAACTACACTTCTCCATAGGAAACCTTCTCCAAAGTTTCCAAATTATGTCTCCAATAAAGACATTACCCCTTTAAAATATCATCTCCTTTACTCCACACTGTCAACCAGATAAGATCTATCCTTTTCAGTGCTATAGAAAAATACCCTTAACTTGATATTATGTCCTCCAAACTATTGCATTTTCATTAATGAGTATAGAGTTCTCAAACTAGTTAACAGATTTCTACACATCATTCCTATATAAGTTTTCCTTTCTTTGTATAAGCTATGCCTTCTAGACACAATATTGTCTGCTCCCTTTCTTGAATGTGTCCTACTAATTCCAAGTTTTAGACTCTAGTTACACACACACATACAAACACATGGATACACACATACACACACAAATGCACACACATACACTGGATCATTCGTGACAATTACAGGTTTTGTGTTCATGCTACTATATGAATCATTTTCATATTTTTGTTAGTATGACACATTTTGCTCATCAATTTTTATTTTTTTTTGGTTGGTACAGGGTCTCACTATGCAGTTCTGACTCACAGTGATCCTCCTGTTTCCAGCCTCCCCCTTGCTGGGATTACAGGCATGTGCCATCACCTCTGGCCACATGGCCCATTTTGCTCTTCAAAGATAATGTTTAACATTGTTATATTCTTATCTACTTAGTTGTATAAATATTGCCTTTATAATACTGTGTTAAGCCCTTGAAGAATAAATTTTAAATTTTCTGCCTTCCAATGTTCCTTAAATTTCCTGGCACATAATAAGAATTCAATCAGTATTTGTTTTTGCTGACAATTGCAAGGCATTTGGTGGAAAAAGTAAATGGTGAAATGAAATTATTCAATCAGGTGGAAAATCCATTAAGAGAAAAAAAAATGGGTAGGAAAAGGACATAGTAGAACAGTTCTTTGTAGAGAACTTAAGCATTACAGCATACAGCATCTTGATAGAGAATAGGCCTTGGCTAATTTATTCTTTCTCCATTACTGGCACTTTCAAATTATAGATTTAAGTAAAATTCCAATGGAAAAAATATCTCTTTCCTCTGATACTTGAGTATATCTTGTTAATGTTATGGGGAACATGCTCTTTAATTAAACAAGTAGAGAATCAAAGGAAGTTACTAAATATCTTAGATCGCACGCCAGCTTGAATTTTTTCCTAGACTCTTTAATCTTTCTGTACTTATTCCTAAGTGTGCAGAAAGTAGGTGTTCTCAAAACACTTTGTATTCTCAATTAGAGTTTTGTATCAATCATCACTTCCCAAGAGAGGGGCTCACAGAGATTCTAGCTTTTAATCTGTAGGTTTCTCCCTCTCCTGCCTCTCTCCCATTTTCTTAGCTTGTCCTTTCTCCTCCCCTGTATTCCAGGTGTGTTCTTCTACCTAAGTTCTGCCGTGAACCCTATCATCTATAACCTACTGTCTCGCCGCTTCCAGGCAGCATTCCGAAATCTGCTGTATCCTGCCTGCAAGAGCTTCCACTCCCAGGATCACCCACAAAGGCCAGGAGCCCAGCGGGACATCTTCCTCACAGATTGCCACCTCATAGAGCTGACTGAAGAGGCAGGGCCCCAGGGCCCTGGCCAGCTGTCCATCTGCACCTCTCGCCTGTCCACAACCCTATCTGTGGAGCAGGCACCATGAAAGAGCATCTCCCCTTCACAAGGACTGAATCCCTACCTGCCCCCAGCTCCCTCAGCAGCTTAGAAAGACAATATGCCTGGCCAAGCACAGTGCCTATAAGATGAGCAGACTCCACTCCAAGAAAATTTGGCCTGAGTCATCTACACACTGAGTCAGGTTGTCACTCTGACAACCAGTGTCCACTGTGGGCCATCCTGGCCTGCTCTTTATGATTGGAGAAGTCCATGTCAGTATCTCTCTGCATGCATATCTCTACCCTACTGTCCCATAGAACATATCATGACTGCTTAGAGTATCCTGAAACCTTTTACCTTAAGAGCTCCCCTGAGAGCTTGGGGAATTATGACCCTACTACTCTAGTCTCCAATATCATTAGCAGTCATTTTTCATCAGAATCCAGAATCAGAGATAAATTTAACCTTGAGAAGAATGGGAAGAAAAGAAGAGAGGAAGGTGAGGTGGCAGGTTGAATGAGTTATAAACTACACCAAACAAAATTAGCTGTTTTCATAATGAGATCCAGATGTAGTTTTCCAACATCTTATTTCGTATGTAAATAGAAATATGGTCTATTCTCTTGGAAGAAAGACAACTGAAATGACAACTACTCATATGAAACTACAGACTTTGTTTATTCTTCATGTATTATAATATAATCAAAACCTACTTCTCAGATTCATCTGCATTTATACCATCACAAACAACTTGTATTCTGTTCAATTAGGACTACTCCCCTTATATAAAAACAGTCCATGGTGTTCCCTACCTGCACACCATGGCACACAGAATGCTTTGCTGCCTCCAGTTTCCAACAGTTTGTATCCAACCAATCTGAAGTATTCTTCTCCATAGTGTATCTCCTGCATGGAGACATTCCTAATTTATTCCAGTAAATAACTTGACATTTTTTT